TAGCGGCTCGATTTAGACAAATCCTAGAACAGCTTGGATTAGGGCCCTGAGGTAGAATCTTCTATGACTCTCCCATTATTTGAGTGCATTCCTGGGAATCTGGCAGTCCCATCATCCACACCGGAAAGGCTGACGGATTGAAGAGACAGGGTGAGGCGGGTGGCGCCGATCTAAAGGTTGTTCTTCAGTTACAGCAAATACATTCCAGACTTTCAGTCAACCCCACCGTTTTATTCTCACAACAGTGCCTGAACATGTGCCCCTGTAAGGTAAAGATCTTGAATTCCTGTTTCATAGATGAGGTAACTAACCGAGTGGCAGTGAACTTCATTGATTTTCCCTGAGTCACACATCTGTGACTCCCAGTACCTTACTCATGCACTCTTAACCACGACTCTCCGGAAACTCACAAGAGAACCACTCTGCAACACTCCTCCATAATCCCCTCAAGGAAGACCTAGAATGATTTAGGTGGAAGGAGTCAAGTCACAGTCTTGGGAGTGAGAGTTCAGAATCCCAGACATAGATTCATCTGTGATATCTTTACCCTCCCTTTATCTCAAGATCAGAGTCCTGGTGTAGCGCTGTAGGATTAGCTCTGAACTGCTAACCTCCTTCGAAATCCTGTGCTGTGAGTTGGAACTGACTGGACAGCACTTAGCAACAACATTAGTTGTGGAATTCTAAGCTAGGCACCATCCTAAAGGACATGAGTTATCTCATTTAAAAATGAGATCTCCATTACATATTATGTAAAATGGTCCTAATGTTTACGAGACACTAGGAGTCCTGTTGTGGCTCTATAGGATAAGCATTGGATTGGCAGCCTCAGGGTTAGCAGTTCAAATCCACCAGATGCTCCTCGGAAACCCAATACAGGGAGGCTATGAATCAGGACTGACCCCACAGCACTTAACAAATCCCAAGCTGCCAACACAGAATACAGTTAATGGCTGTAATATAACAAATAGTTCACTAGAACCATAGGCAAGACTACAATCTTTGATTCACACAAACTCCTCCCTTATTCTCAAAGGTTGATTCCGGGTGTTGTACTGTCTGGGCTCAAAATAAGGCAAGATCCTCTTCCAGGAGCTCACAGCCTGGCACATCGCAAAGGAGCATCCTCATAGAATAAATGAGCTCCAGAAGAGGGTAGTGACTTGACCAAGGCCTCACAGGAGATGGTGACCAAGGAGAGCATCTGCTTTCCCACTGGGGTTCTTCCCAGCATCATGGCATTGACTTTTGGGAACTAGAAGATCTAATAACAGAGGAATATTGATGCTCGGAATGACTTGCTTACGTCTCTGTTTGGCAACTCACTTAATTTGACAAGCATCTGGCCTTTCTTTCCCTGGAACTAAGACTGTATACATTGATTTTACAAGGTTGTTGCTGATAAGTGATGTGGAGTGGGTTCTAACTCATAGTGACCCTGTATAGGGTTTTGGGGGAGCAACTGGTGGGCTTGAACAAATGACTTTGAGATTAGCAGCCCACCAGGACTCCAAGTTTAAGGGCACAGAATTATCTAAAGTAAAAGGATGTTTCTACCATAGAGGAAGAAGTGAGGTGGGGAGAGAAAGAAAGAAGAGAGGAAGGAAAGGGTGTGGAGGTTAATGCTTTCCTAGTATGTGCAAACACATGTTTAGATTTTCATCAGATTTTGTAGGCATACACAATGGTATGACTACACATAGGGCACTTTTTTTTTTTTATTTTAAATAATAAAAAAGACTGAAATTCTTTCTTCTGACATGCCCTGCACCCCTTAATTTTATAATTGTCATTGCTAAGTGTCCTCAAGTTGACTCATAGAGACCCTGCATAGGGTTTCTGAGTCTTTAAATCTTTGCAGGAACACAAAGCCTCATATTTCTCCCACGGAGCAGTTGGCTGGCTCGAACCATTAACCTTGTGGTTCACAGTCCAGTGCTTATCTGTGGAGTCACAGCTCTCCCCTAATTCTCTATTACTCCATTACCCACAAACCCCAAAAGCCAAAATCAATTGTCCTGAAAGTAGATTCTGATTAATAAAAAAGCAAATTGTAATTTAAATCCACGAATCCTCAGCTGCGATCAATGACCACTAGGGGGCTGCAGAGACTTGAAACTCCAGATGAGAGGCCAGGAGAAACAGGCCCCTTGATACTGTCCCTGACCTTTGCACCTCAGGAATTCCAGGATCTCTATGAATCCTCTAATGTTTATAAATTTTCTCCAACTTCCCCAAGTAAGAGCTAGATGCCTTTCCCTATCGATTCAGTCTGACTGAATCTAAAAATATGTTTGCTTGTCTTTTTGATTGATACCATGCTCGATATACATCTGCACCTGTAGGTATATGTATGTATGTGAGTGTCACAGTAACCTTTTGGTACCAGATCAGACCATAGAAGATGAAGTTGAGTCAGCCCCAACACATGGCAACCCCATGTTTGTCAGAGTAGGATTGTGTTTCATAAGGGTTTTCAGCGGCTGGTTTTTGTTGTTTTTAAAGTAGATCTTCAGGCCTTTCCTCCTAGGCAGGCCACTCTAAGTGGACTCAAACCTCCAACCTTTTGATTAGCAGCCAAGCATGTTAACTCTAAGCACCATAACCTGACCTTTTAGGAGAAGGCATATATGATTACTTTCAATATAGCAAAAATAAAACGGCTAAGAAGACTCAGTCTTGCTTAAGGTCAAACAGCAAGTAAATTCCTAAGTGCCATCAAGTTGTTTCTGACTCACAGTAACCCTGTATAGAGTTTCCAAGGAGAAGCTGGTGAGTTTGAACCACCAACCTTTTTGTTCCTACAGACCTTGCAGTCTAGTGCTTATCCTATAGCGCTACACCAGGACACTAGATGTTAAACAACAGACTTCAAATTAAAACTAGTGATTCTTTCTCTCAAAACTTACCAATCCAGTTGGGACATTGCCTCATGACTACACCTATAATTGTGACACTTCCGCCATATATCATGGAGTCCTGGTGTGACACTGTAGTATAAGCACTGAACTTCTAACACAAGGTCGGTGGTTCAAACCCACCAGTTGCTCCTCAGAAACCCTATGCGGAGTTTCTATGAATTAAAGCTAACTCAATGGCACTTATCAACAACAACAACACCCCTATATCATTGCCATATAAAAGGCAGAATATGGGATAGTAGAATAAAAAGCAAATAAAGGAAATGGAGAGACACAGATACAGTGTGAGAAACTATAGTTAGTATGTGTTGTGCATATATTATGTGCCAGCATGTTTCAAATAATTCTTATGCATTATTGAAGTTAATGTTCACAGTAACCCTATAAGGGAAGTGATTTTGTTGTCTTCATTTCATAAATCAAAAATTGAAGCCCAAGCCAACAAACATATGAAGAAATGTTCATGATCACTAACCATTAGAGAGATGCAAATCAAAACAATGAGATATCATCTCACACCAACAATGACAGCAAAGATCAAAAATGTAGAGGGCTATAAATGCTGGTGGGGGTGTGGAGAGACTGGGACACTCCTGCATTGCTGG